CCGTTTTGTAAAATTAGAAATGTCAAATAAGGTAACAAATTATGTGAGCGAATTTTTACCAAGGTATTATTATTAGACTAGTAGAATTGCCATTATTGCCGATTTATCAAATCATCATATGAACTCAAAATACCATTTAGGATTCACGCAATGACTTTGCAGGAATTTTATATACAGTTTAATACGAAAATAAAACACGCACAATGGAAAAGTAAAATCATAAAAAAGAACAACTATTGTCTTCATAAATATCCGCATTCGGCGTGAGAAATGAAATATTGTTAGCTTATAACCGGGACAGGTAATTTACAAACGATGGTGAGAAAGATCAAGGCCGGCGCAAAAGATAAAAATCGGAATAAAATACCGAATTCATTCCTTGATATCGTATGTAACGTATGTCGCTGATATGAACGCATAGTCCTCCCAGAAATATAAAGCCAAACTTTGACGATGCGTAAGAATTGGTTCTTGTTATAAAAAGAGGACGGGCGGCAATAGCTCACCAACATTAGAATGTCTAGCGTTTTTGAGGCCTGTCGTATATATATTAAAAATACCCGATATTCGATAATTCGTTAAAAATATTCAAATTGTTCAATTTAATAGAAATCTTCTATCTTGTCCACCCTTGCGATCTGTAATCACGCCAGTTATCTGGCAAAACGCGTGGTAGTCCAAACGCTGATGCAATGTATTTTAATAAAACCGTCATTCAATTTAGTAAATTGCACTACTTCACGAAAGCGTGGTTGAATTGACTATTATTTCATATCTCGAACACAAAAACGGTTATTTTTTTCGGATAGTTTCTGCGGTCTGAAAAGTCGAATAAGCATTTTGACATAGTAAATGCTATGATCTTTGCCATCCAATTATGCTCGGGTCTCGCACGAGATTCATAACGCAAAAAGTCACGTCCACCAATATGGTTTATACCAACTTTACAACAACTTCAAACCTATTTATTGTTTTTAGCGATAATATTTAATTGTTTTAATGAAATACAGTCTGTTTGCCTCTTTCATTTCTCTCGCCAGTGCCGACAATACCTCTATTGAATGATTTGGCAATGGGATAAACATATCAAATTGTAACAAAGAAGAATTAAGTTGTGCAAAAGTGAGAATACTTGTGATAATATTAAGGGCGTAACGTTATCGGGGAAGGGCGAGCAGAGCGTATTACCAATGCTGCCGTACAGGGTATGATGTATTTACACGAATAAAATTCCCCTTATCCGATCTTCTTTATTTTTCATTATTTTATAGCAAAATGTCTTTAGGAGAAAAAAATGTTTATGTTTAGTAATAGGTGTGCCGCGACCAAAAAAGATTGGAAACCACTGCGCTTATTAATATTGCATTCGTAAAATCTCATTTCAATAATTTGGTAATTTCGTTTACGAATTCCTTCTTAAAACCCAATATATTTCTGCTCAAACAGATTACGCGACGGGAACGGTTAAATAATTATGGCATTAACGAACCCACAGGTGTTGCAGTAAATTTTGTGAAATGAGAATGTGATGTAACTCTAGACCAGTAGTTCCCAACCTTTCATATCACGTGGTCCCCTTCCGACAGCGTATAGTACTCATGGCCCCCTGTTTATCATTCCAGCGGTATTTATAGTGGTATTGTGATTGATAATTTCTTACTCTCATTATGTTCAAACATTTCATGTTCGACAAGGTGAAAACACCCTGTGAAATAATCTTATCAAGTGGAAAGAACGGGGAAATTTCTTAAGAAGAGAAAAGTCAAATCAGTTTCGCCCCTAGCATTACGGTCCCTCTTCAACTGTTCTGCGGTCCCCGGGCCTCCAATTGGGAACCTTCAGTCAATGGTACACCCAACACCAGTTGTGTTCGTGTCTGTAATACAGTATATGCTTGTTCCTATAGGTTTATGAATTGGGCGTAACCAGAGGGTGGGGTTTTTAGGGGTCGGACAACCAACCCCTCTTTTTTATGTAAAAAAGCGTTTTTCTTGTATATATCATACATAGCAATGATTAGTAGCTTAAAACGTTTTTTAGAACCCCAAGACTCTTGAGAAACCACGTTTCCGGCCACCGTCTGGACCAACTGGACTAGCTGATATGGTCTAACTTGGCAACCAGAAATTTAAGACCCCTCCTCTTTCACACCCCTTTTAAAATCCCCGGCTATGTCGCTGATGATGAATACAACCTCTACATTATCTTCGCCAACAGCTAGGAAAATTTTTAACAATGTCATCACTTATTCTGGGAAGAACATATGCAAGCGAAGGTACTATTTTCACTTCGAGCTCATTTCCATCCATCTCGTTTGGTTCATGTGGTGAAGGGATTATAGATAGGAAGCCAGGAAAAGTCCGGTTTCCAGTAAATCGTTCAAGAATAGTGCAACATGGTGTTAAAAAAGACGTATGAATTTTTGTCTTACTGCAAATGCCGCAAAATTGCATTACAAAAAATGTTAAAAAGTAATCCATAACACATGTGAGAAACAATCATCAATAATAGATTGAAAAGATCTTTGGGACTTTAATAACAAAATCAACAATTTAAGGTTCCTATTCTGCGCTATAACGCTAACAAATTGCCTATTGAAATAAGATTTTACGAATGTATTATTAATTAGTGCATGTGTTTCATGATATATATCGCCTTGCCTGGTATTTTCTGGCACTGTCAGTACTTGTACAAGACTGAATTGCTAGTAGCAAATTTTATATGATACTTTTTGTTTGAATCCGGTTTCTTCCCTCGTTTTATACGAAAGTAAAATAGAATGAATTTCGGGAACAAAACGGTCGCTATAAATCAGATGCTGAACAATGGCAGTTGGAATTTCAGCGAATCCGCAACTAATAACACGTTTATGGAAGATAATTCGACTGCGGCATTAAATCAAACATTTAACTTCAGCGATGAAGATTCAAAAGATTACTTGATCAATGTATTATTGGCGCTATCACAAGCAGTTGAAGCAATTCTTTTTTTAGTATCCTGTTGGATGTTAGCGAGTTTTGTTTTCTACTGTATCCAGAATGGAAAATGGAAGAGAAGGCAAACGACATCATTTTTCAATGGAAGACTTTTGCACATTCTTTATACGATAATTCTAGTATTCGTCATTCAAAAATTTCTGATAACGCAAGTATACATTCAGGCGCCCCGTGGTTCAAACTCTTCATTTCTATGTAATGTACTCGATACTGTGGTGAAGATTTATTACTTGATTACAACATATCTTGTATATTGCTTCATATGGGTGAGACAAAAAGTAGTTTATAATGAAAACCCGACTACAGGAAAATGTATCAATTTTTTAAGTTGGGGAATATTTGCGATGCTTTCTTTACAGTTGATTCTACTTATAAACGTATTTATTATATTTGATCGTCAAGAGCCGATATCACAAGGATGTGTGACAATTAAAAGCAAAATTATATACTTGTATCCTATCATGTACCTTCTGATGTTTTTAGCTCAGTTCGGCCTTCTTGGCTTGTTCGTCTACCCGGTCATGAAAAATACCATGGAATACAAATCAAGAAACCAAGGCTCAAAATGGATCGCGCTTTTATGCAACACAGGAACTTTGCAGCCTGGTGAAATACAAAAAACTATTCGGCGTTTACTGACCTGGACATGTGTTGCTGTTTTCACGGACATCATATTTATTGTGTTGAATTCCCTCTTAATTCCAGAACACTTTCCTTCTTCAATCCGCTCGGCAACAGCAGATATTATGCTTTTTGTCAATGTCATATGCATATTAATGACATTAAAAGATAGATGGCAAATATTGAGAGCTTACTTCCCGAGGAAACAAAACAAGGTTACTGACATCCCAACCAAGTTAACTGACATCCCAACCAAGTTAACCTCTTTACCGCAGACATAGGGACTTTGTGACGGAAAGAAACAAACACGTTGATTTGTTATATGAGGCCGCATAAAGCAGCGGTTCCCAAAGGGTTGCGAAAAGTATCAGAATTGTATTAAACCTAGCTAAAATATGAATGAATATTTTACATATTGTACTTAATATAAATGTTTTATTGTTTATTTTAAATGTTGTGGATATGAATCAATAAATTCATTTTGTCTTTTTATGTCGTTTACCTTCTGTTAAGTATAGTGTCCGCCTCTATTGTTACGTAACATAGAATCAGAAGTCACATTGAGTCATCGCCACGTGTCACATATAGCAGAGGTGGCCAACACACCGATCGCCACGTCTCGCCTGGTTGATCGAGTCTGATGAGTGAATTGGATACCATACCCCAAAATTACAGTTTCATATGTTAATCATTCATAAAATACGTCATTGACTCTGGTCACGATTACATTATTAAAAAATGGAATTGAAGTCAATTCGCTTCAAGTATAATCAGCTAATTAAACTTCACCGGTTTGCGGACTATTGCTATAAACCTTATTCAATATCGTGTCTATCTTATATGACAAGGGTGGCTAAACTCACTTCGATTAATACCTTCTAAATAGCTAGCGGTCGACTGATCGATAATAAAGTTATACATAAAAGCGAATGAGTATTGAATATGCAAATTAGGAATAACTTCACATATGCGTATTTTTTATGTTCAATCCAATTTGTGAATAATGTAATTGTGACCAGAGTCAATGACGTATTTTAGTGAATGAACAATACTGTATTCTTTTGGAGCTCCAGAAGTATGTGCACCAAGATGGCGCACAACCTGAACAGAGTATGTGTACCAAGTTAGGGTTCAGATTGTGCGCCATCTTGGTGCACATATTTCGGGAGCGCCATTCTTTCTGTTTTATAACACATCAGGTGCTGTATGGAACTGTAATTTTTGGGGTATGGTATTAAATTCACTTATCATACTCGATCGACCAGTCGAGACGTGCCAATCGATTGTTAACCTCTGCTATATGTGACACGTGTCGATAACTCAACCTGACATCTGATTTTTCTCTTCAGTCCAATTTGGAAAATAAAAATATATTGCTCATTCTGTGATTTGTTAATTGTTTATTTCAGAAGTTGTGCGATTAATATAGGAATTGAGGCAGCCAAGTTTCCACGAAAATAATATTAAAGTCTATTAACACTTTTAGGTCAAAATTGAAATTGACATGCATCCTGCCATGGTATTTGAGGTAATAGATTAGCTATACGAGGTAGAGAATATGAAGACGCAATTAAGATAACACAGCAAAAGGTAAAATATAAAAAACTGCTCAAATTTGGACAGTTTTATTCAAGTTTTTCACTTGGTGGAATTGAAAAAAAAGAAAAGTAATCCTTGCAAATTCCTGCAACTATTTTATACACTCTAATTTGCTCAATCCAAACACGAAAATTCGTCGCGCTTAAGAACTCTGATTCAACATTGCTAGATGAGTACTTACAACACCTAATCGAAATATAAATAGCGCTGGGCCACTTCAAATAATTTCAGAATCGATCGAATCTCAAGGACTTGGAAGATATGTGATTGTATGCCTGATTTTATTGTAATGAGTTCTCCAAACACACAAATTGCTGAATCACATAAAATTCATCACTCAAGACAGTTCGCTAAAACATTTTCGTCAATACCTCACCAGGAAGAAAGAGAGTCGCATTTCAGAATTGTATTTCAAAAATATGGCTTCAATAAAATAAAAAAATTGGGGGGTTCACCTCGACCTTTGACGGACAAAAAAAAATATGGCAGCGATTCGAAATTTTTGTCTGAACCAATTAGTATAATTTAATATCGATTCGAAATGCCCAGCCCTAAATATAACTAATCCAATCCTTTACATATATAAGTCCCTAAAAGGATAAAATTCAGAAAATTCTTTGACCAGTCCAAATATATGCAGCATTTTTTCTTGAGGTAATACTCCAATATTTCTTCTACTTGCACGGTTCTCCACAAATGGTTCTACTAAGTCTTAGAGAGAAAGTGTCATCCAGTCCTTCGAAACCTCCAGATGCAATGACAAGATTCTCGTCTCCACCGGCGATATCCTGAAGCTGCCCAACATCGAGGCGTCCACGTGGTGGCTCGATACCAAGAACAAGCATCTGAAGAAGTACAAATCAATTTTCCATTGGTTATTGCTTGGCGTTTATTATTTTAAGGCGGCTGTATATTAGGTAAATGAAATAATAAATATTTTCCTCTCTCTAATGATATTAAAATTTTAATTTTGAGAGCTGAGTTCATTGATGACTTTTTACTGGAACGATCAAATAGTCACAGTACATAAAAACTACTCAGTTCGTTCAAATTTTAATGGATTCTTTGCTAGCGTTATGTGCAAGTCCCACTCCCGTTTTTGTACAGTTAAAGTATTTTTAACGTGTGCATAGTATGGTTTAGGTTAAAATGTGTTCATGAATAGGTATTATAGAAATAAAGAAAAAACTAAAGAACATTAGTTCCCCTGTTTTGAAAAACGTTGCCTCAATTCTTTTTGACTGAAAATTAAAAAAAATAAGCATATCAAGGTGAAGAAAGACAAAATTACGGTGTGTCCTTGCACATAAATTTTAAATAGTGCAAGGCAAAAAATATCGTCAAAATTCTTGAATTTCATTGTCTTGAAAAATGCCTGTTTGGTATCAAATGAAATGCAATGCTCTGGACATTTTCAATTAAACACTGTATAAATATAATATTACACAAGCAATGTGGTGGGGAATTCCCACTATTTATATACAGGTAGCTATAAAAAAAGAATAGGATTCAGTATTCTGGATTCGATTCAAGTATACTGGAAAAGTAAATCATTCTACATTGTACTTCTATGTATAAAGCTTAGTTACATACCGTTGCACCCATTGCGCGGAGTCCATCTGCTGGAGTTTTGACATCATCGGCAGCTTTTCCGTCAGTAATGACAAAAACAATGTCCTGAACACCAGGTCTGTTGCCACGGCCTGCCGCCAAACTAACATCCAGAGCATGCTGAAGAGCGCGTCCAGTGAAGGTCCCTGTTAAATGAAGATATTACAATTTAGACATGTATAAGTACACTGTGTGAGATTTGTACACTGTTGGACTGTTCTGAACTATCGCGACGGTGTGGCTCATCGTGCTAAGCGTTAGGAATACGCTCGCCACTGCACCTCTGATTACTCTGCGTGGGTTCAAATCCCATGCAGGAATAGTTATGTGCCCGAGGAATGCTTGATTACTCGCCGCCGTAGGGTGGTTCACGTAACCGCTGGTCGGTTACGGTTTCCTCCACCACCAAGTCCATGCTTCCAAAAAACAACAAATAACTGGCTAACTAATCCCATACTCGACATGGACCGGTAACCGGAAGAGAGGCCGTGGTTCACCATATGATTGAGCCGTCTTATCAACTTTTCTCTCCGCCAGGATAAATATGTAAATCCTATCCTATCATTTCATATCTCATTGTTAATCGATAAATATTTCACACATCTCTTAGTACAGTGTGACCCAAAGAAGAACTCATAAATTTCTTAGTTACTTCTGTGACAATAAAGAAAAATTCATTTAACACTTGAACTTCTGGTTGTGTATGATAATAACAACAGTTTTAGCAATCGAGTACGCTTTGCACAAAAGTTCTCTCTAGATATGTTCTAATTGACCTGGGTTTTGTTTCTTGTATGACAACTGTACATCAGTTGCTTTTTGTGCTTTATATGTAAAAGTAAGTGTGTTGTTATGATTGCTCTTTTCTATACCTACTCTAATCAATTATCGACAAAAATTCTATTAGTTAGTGACATTTTTCAAACAACTATAAAGCACCAAAAGTGAGAATACCGTTAAGCACATATATTTGCAAACATACTCGATACTCAAACATTGTTCGAAGAATCTACATTTAACTAAAATATGAGATGAAAATGCAAATGCCGTCCCATATCAAATGGTATATATTCAAAGAATGGCGCTCCAATAGTGTATGTACCAATATGGAGGTAATTAATTTTGTTCGGCTACTTTACATCAAGTTGTGTAACGAAACTGAAACCTATGGGCAGGGGGTATATTCACCAGGCTAAAACAATCAATCAATCGTTCATTTGTCATCACAAAAAAAAGTTGAAATGAAACTGTTACAATAAATAAATATGCAGTACTAATTGTGTTATTTGTGTGAAGGACCTAAGGAGGTCTTCAAGCAGCGACACCTACATCGCTGTTACAGGTTAGAATAAAAGTAACATGAATGAAAATTAGGAATATGTAACTAACAGACATTCCCCGAACTCGTAATAGAACTAAAATAAAGAAAATCGGAATAAAATTACCGCCTAACCCTAACTTGGTACTCACACTACGAGAGTACCGAAAGAATAGTCACATTTAGTCTTGCTACATCATACAAATATGAATCCACTTGCGCAAAAGCATAGAACAAGAAAAGGTAGTCACGCATAACCCCAAGTGATAGTTGCGAATTTGTTTTGAAAACTAAAAGAAACAAACTCACCACTTCCATCATATGGAATTCTTCCAAATGAATCGATCAAAGCGTCCATATCACCAGGATGACTGTCCAAGAATATCTGAGTCTCTGTGTCCACATTACGATTGTATCGGAAAATCGCAAAATTTGCAGCATCAGGTGCAACAACAAAAGATCTAAAAAAATGGATTTAAAGGAAAGTTAGTAATTACTTCTCCAATTAGGTGTTTCATACACTTGCTCTTAACTAGGTATTATGCATCTCATCGGTATGGGGTATCACACTAAGCGTTTGGAGTACGATTGCCATCACAGCTCTGATTACCCTGCATACGTTGGCAGGTTCGAATCATGTCAGAATAAGTATGTGTGAAAGAATTGCTGGATCGTTTTTATTATTATATTGTTGTAAAAGAATGGATTTTCTCTTTAACTAACTTGTTTCAAAAGTTTTAGTGTTTAAAGCTTGTTGTGGTAGCTAAAAAGTCATTTATTTCAAAAATGTCTGCGGCCCTGGGTTCATTTTTCACTTTGAAGTTTTATGTGGTGATGTCTTTAAACTAAAAAATTGCAAGCCATGGTATTGTGATCACAACTTAGTGATCTGGTGGTCAGACTACCAGTACTGTGAAAGACTTGATACTCATTCGTTTTGGCTTTTGTGTCCATATATTTGAGCATAACTGTCCTGTTTGAAATTAGAATCACAGTACAACATAATAATTTACTTACCTGATGATCCCTCGAACAAAGTTGGTCAGTGAAACCCAGTTTTCAGCTCCGATTGACGATGAAGAATCAAGAACTAAAACGATGTCCATGACAGCATACGGTGGACAGGGCCCTGGATATCGAATATAAGAAAAAATGATAAGGTTGAGCATAGGATAAGATTGTATAAGATTGTTCACATGGAATGATATTTAACAGTAATAATTCTAATTTTTGGATTCTGCAATTATCTGACTACCAGCACGTTACAAAATTTCGTATTAGTTTTACGCAAAGCCTGTCATGTTATTCTAGATCACGTAGTGGCATACATACAAAATTTTGATTCTAAGCACTGGCCATGGCCTCCCTGTTTAGCACAAGTGGGGGCTACTTAGTAGCAGTGTGGTGCATCATGCTAAGCATTAGGAATACGCTCGCCACCACGCCTCTGATTACCCTAAGTTGGTTTGCAGGTTCGAATTCCATGCATGGAAAGTCATGTGCAAGAAGATTGCAAGACTCCTTGCCGATGTAGGGTGAGTCATGCAACCGCTGGTCAGTTACGGCTTCCTCCACCATTAAGTCCCTGCTTCCAATAACTAATGACGGCTAAACATAAACTGGTAACTGAACGGGAGGCCGTGGTTCGCCATGTGATTAAACCATCTTATTGACTTTCCTCCCCCGGGATAAATATGTGAACCCTATTATAAATCCTAGTAACGTACCAGTACATATTTTCTGAAATAAAGGAACCTGTTGTTAGTGACTTTGATAAAAAATGAGCCTGTCCTCAAAATTTTGAATCCTAGCATTGGGTATATCTATTTATTCAGACTTACTGGCACAGCAAGGTTTTGGCACATTCCAAAGTTGATTCGGTCTACAGACGTTGCTGTCTCTCTCAGCTGGATACAATTGATAGCCTTCTTCTTCGCATCGGAAATTACAAGTTGATTGGATATTCCAAGAGTTTGTACAAGATATCGAACCGTGCTCCAAGGTTCCCTGATTTTCGCATGGAGTAACTAATGCAGACATAAAAAGTTTTAGAATTTCTTGTGAGGTTATAGTTAATTATGGCAGTCTTATCAAATTTCCATTCTCCCAAGGTGAATATGTAAATCTCATCCTAATGTGTTCAGAAATCTAATTGATACTAATCACAAGATTCTGCTATAAACAATTTTAATAAAAAGAATATAAGTAATGATCATATTGGTCAGTGAATCAACCTGAATGGAATCAGTCTAGCCCAATTTGATATTGTAGACGTCAGAGCATTGGTTCTTAAAGTGGGGTCCGCGGTCGCTTTGGGGTCTGCCAAAGTGAATTTGGAGGGGCCGCAAAGCAACTTGACACCGACACAAAAGCACTGCTTTGGCGGTTTCCATAAGGGATAGTGCCGAAAACAGTTTTAGTATTTACTTGTAACACATGAGACATGATACGAGAGTAATGGCCCAAACAGAACCCCAAATAGACGAACAGGTGGAAACCAAGCAATTGCACCCATCACAATGAACTGTACTAACAAAATGCAATACATCAATGCTCGATATAACAGGTTCCTTTTCTGAATTTTTAGTAGACCGCGAGTCCTCAAAAAAATGCAGGGAGACCGTTACGCAAAATTTTCCAAAAAGTTTGAGAACCACTGCATTAGAGGAAGGAAAAGATATCTGGCTTGTATTCTGTAGTCGTGCCAGTGTATTTTCTGAGAATCATCAGAATAACCAAGTTCCAAAACTATAATTTACCCAGACAAGTTGGCAATGCTACACTCCATCTTCCTGTGATTAAGCATTCGCTCACAGCAAATCCATCCATTCGTGCTCCTATAGGACATTCGGATCTGGATGAAAAGAATTTTTAGGGTGAACAGAGTGTTTTGAAACAGATAAAAGGGGAGAGATTTTCAACTTCACTGTTTAAATTTCACATAAACTGACATTCACTAACACAAACTGCAAAATTCTATAGTTTCAGTAGCTTCTGGCATTTTAGTGATTGCTTGTAACTTTGCTCAGGAATGAGTCTCTTTTAATTCTTATTGGTTCCTGTACTCTAAATCAGGGGTGATACAATTCGGCCCGCGACGCTTCACTGAATTATAGTAACAAAACAGCTGTTTTGACGATTATATGCTTTACGTAACAGAATTTATTGCGAGACGCGTGTAGACTAAATTATATTATAATCTAACAAAAATAAAGTTTACAATTACTCGTTTAATGAGCCTATAATTTAATTAGACAAATGGCAACAAAACACAGAAAAGTTGATGCTAAGTGCAAAGGGTTCAATGGTGCCGAAAATATTCAATTAGAATTTTTTGAGATGCAATGCAGTGTCACTGCTTTATTTTTATAATAAAAAGTATCATTCGTTCAGTTTTCAACTTTCTAAAAATATGTGCGGCCCGCCAATGACTTGCAACCCTTATTTTGGCCCGCGAGCGACAAAAGGTTGCCGACCCCTGCTTTAAATGATTAGTGAAAAGTGAAACTTTCACCTAAAATTTTGATTTTTATTGCAGGTTTTTCCAAAATTGTCATAAAAAAAAAGTGAATTAAACGATGATCTTATCTATTCATGCTCCTATAATGCATTCATATCTGAATATAAATTATTAGTCAAATGCGAAAACTTTAAAATGACAGGCTTTGGGAACATTTTGAATGGAAAGTTTTAACAAAGATTTTCTTTTTTTATCTAGGTTTTCTCAAAACTTTCAACAAAACAAGAAACGCCAATTCAAGGAACCCTTGACGACGTCAAATTAAAGAGGAAAAAGCTACAAAATAGAGAAAGAAAGTTCCTCCTCCTCTACCTAACTTCCGCTGGCCAATCAATCGAACACAATTTACAAGAAAATGGTAATTACGCAGTTTTACTGGGGAAGGGAAGATGCAGGAAACCAGAACTGATTACCAAGCAGAGACACTCAAGGTTCCTATATCTAGTTTACAAGGCCATAATCTCATTCCATCACTTATATAAATTGGGAAAATATCAGAAAAATTGAAAAACAATTATTATTAAACAATATACTTGATATTGTCCGGTGGAAAAAAAAAAAAATTTTTTTAGCATGTCTGTAATCAAGTATGGTAAGTCAGTAGGTTTTATTTTCAAAGTCGGTGCTCCCGAAGTATGCGAACCAAGATGGCGAACATCGGAACGTAACATGGGTAACAGGTTAGGGTTAGGCGATAATTTTTTCCAATTTTCCTTATTTTAGTCCTATTATCAGTTCGAAGACTAGCCAAGAGCCTCCCGTAGTATTCATACCTAAAATTATGGCCTAACCCTAACCTAGTACACATGTTACATTTCGATGTCCGCCATCTTGGTTCGCATACTTCGGGAGCCCCTCAAAGTCTAAAATTCAAAGTGTACACACAGAGTGAAAAAAAAATGCATTTTATATACTTACGAGCAAATACTTCCATATCTATTACCGTTGGTGCATGTTACGCTTCCTCCAATAACAAGACCTCGTGGTGGACAGATGATCGCTATAAAAAATTGTTTCAATATAATCGCGGTTGGCAAACTTTATGTACTACTGGGCCAAATATGCACATTTCCGCTTGCGTGCTGGAAACCTCTTATGTCGGCTATAAACAATCGGTATATTAAAACTCACATTATGAAGCGCCTGCGATTTTCTATTTAAATTAACTTTAAGCATGATTGGGTAATTAACACAAAACAAATACTGTATGAAAGCCACTGTTACAACAAATATCCGTGCACAGATGATAATAAGTTTATGATCAACTTTTACACATCAAAAGTAAAGTCGTTCGAGAGCCACAAAGAATTTGCTTGCGAGCTACATTTTGTCGACCACAGATCTGAGGTAAAAAAGTGTTAACTAGATCTCACGTTCACAGGAAGCTAGAGCAAAGCTCCATCTGTTGCTTGCTAAACAGTTGCTGACTGATGAACCGACAAGTTGGAAGCCAATGTTACATGTGACATTGAAAGCATAAAAATGAAATGTTGAATTGATGGCGTAGTTCCCAACTAGAGACCTCAATGCTCGGCGCAAAACTGATTTTACTTTTTTCTCCTTCAAAAGAATACTCCCCGTTCTTACTACTTTCATTGTTCAAGAAGGATATTTCACATGGGGTTTCCACTTTATTGAGCATGAATTGTTTGAACATGATGGGCTTTGGAATCTTTTATTCAAATAATACTATAAGTCCCACTAGAATGATAAACAGAGGGGCCCGTGAGTGCTGAAAGCCGTAAAACGTTAAACAATCACATATAAAAGTGGCACTAACTTCTGCTTTATGAGACGCTTCTGCTTTATGTATGAAGTTTCAAATAAATACATTTTGACTTTAAAACATCAAAGTCTGGGTAAGATGGGCATTGAATCTACATATTACTACTCAGCGTTATTTTAGTCAGATTGTATTGAAGAATAAATACAAGTACTTGTGTCCTACCTGCACTCACTTCCTACATCATTATCATCCGAGCATGAAACGAAGCCATTTTGAACCCTTCCTCTTGGAGCACATCCCGTTTCTGTATATAAAAAAAGCATAAATGAAAATTCATTAGACGTTTAACAACGTCCCTCAGATAGACAGACTCAGTATCTCGGTCTTAGAAATTTGAAAAGAGAATTACAGGTCAAAATTTATGAAAGTAAATATTTATCTTGCAGAAGCCATATACCACATTTTCAGAGACTTAACCTGATTCAGACGCCCAATCGAGCCCAATTTTGAATACATTTTTATTAATGTCATACGACCCCCAAAATTTACCCAATATACAATAATTATATACCATTGGAAAGGTATTTTAGAGTACTATACGCTAGATGTCACTGGAGGACCGTAAACTAAAACACCTCTTTCAAGAGGTCTCTCGTAACGTCAAAAAATAACAAAAATATTTACACTCTCTCATTCTATCAGCTGTTGGACGTCTATCGCTATTGTAAAGCTGAAATGTGACTATACAGTTGACTACACATTGGTTTTCTCTTTCATATGATACTAAACGCTTTTCCATAGCGCGCGTTGTTCAAACGTTTTGGAAATTTTCCGTTTGAGAAGTCACCACATCGAATCAGGCCAGGCTAAGCTTGATAGATCGATCGGTTGTTTGTTTGTGCTTTATCGCGTTGAAAGCTTTTGTGAGTCATAATAAAACATTTATTATGAATCATAAAAGCTTATAATCGTCAGACAAGGAGAATTTGCGAGATAAAACGCCTAACTTTTTTTCGGTGAGGCAGCTGCGATCATATGACTCGATATTTTTATAACTTCCTGACGTTGTGAGATGTCCACTCTCCTATGTTATGTAGCATATAAAATGACCTTCAAAATAAGACCTTATCATACTAGCTTTTGTTATTGGTTAGCGCGCAACGCCAAGGTTTATGGAATCATTTTCTTGTTGTGCGACGTTTTTATATCGCAGCGGGAAGTACACGCGTGATATGTAAGCGAAATTTTATCACTTCTAAATGTCATATAAGGTTCATTCTCATATCGTTGTGTGGGGAATAAGATTTCCTTTCAAGCAAGACCAAAGCAAACATTCCAGACCTCATGGTATACACACAGCATTGCAAAACGTCTGAAACGTCGCGCATGCGTCAAACCGGGAGGATTAGGTTAACCGAACAGCTGTTCAGTGCTTGGCAATCAGTGGTGGAGATTCCTACCAAAAGGAATTCTTGTGAGTTAAGCTACATTTAGAACCAATGCTTTTGTAATGATAAGCAATGACACAACAAAACGTCAAACAATTCAAAACATAACTTATGATTCTTAACTATTTACCCAAGCAAAGTGGCAATGCTGCACTCCATCTTCCATTACCGATACATTGGCTGAGAGAAAATCCTTCTAATCGAGCTCCTGTCAGACATGATGCGCTAAAAAGAGATTTCACAAAAATTACGTCCCATCATTGGCCTGACAACTACTTTTTCGTTTCAAATCTAATGTCCTTAATGGTTATTGTACTAGTAATGTCAGTGTCGCAAGATTTTTTCAAATCTATGCATCTGAAAACAAAAAATATATCTGGCTAACTAATACCATACGCGACAAGGTTCGCCATATGATTAGGCCACCTTATCGGCTTTCCTCTTCCAGACTTATTGACTTGCTATGGTAAGGAATAAGAATTTTACATAGGATTCCATCCGACTAACTCGTGCAGAATTTGCAGTTGGAACATGAGGATTTCTCTCATAAGACCAGCCCCCGACAATCTCTTTACATCAAAGTGTAGCAGAACATTGTTCAGAATGCAGGTCATTCCAGAGTATAATGTTAATTCAATATATCCACTTCAATATACTAATTCAATTCAAGCAAGATAGATAAATTGATATTGTTTAACATTTATTTGAAGCTATGCATCTGAAACAAATGACTGACTGGCTAACTTATCCCATACCCGACATGGACTGATAATCAGAGGAAAGGCCGTGGTTTGCCATATGATTAGGTCTTCTTATCAGCTCTCCTCTTCCCGGAATAAATATGAAAAATCCGATCCTACTCACGTGCATGTACTTCCATATGCGTTTCCATCCGAACATGAGATGCTTCCTCCTACTATTAATCCTCGTGGTGGACAAAAGATGGCTGAGAACAAAAATGGAAACATGTTTTTGAAAGCAGTTCCATTTGGGTTTACTGAACACAAAGTGGACCTATGCACAGACAACCGGTAACATAGAAGATTTGATTTCGGTTCTACTTTGTTTTGGCTTCCGTGTCAACATATTTGTTTTCTTGTTTCAAGAAGGAAAATCAAATTCGGCTCAGTGGTGTGGTGCATCGTCTCAAGCATTAGGTGTTTTCAAATTTGATCCAAAATAGTTTTCAAATATTATTTTACGAATGTCCAAAAGAGTCAAATTAAATAAATTCTGTGTCAGAATGTTCGTTTATTTGCATTATTGCTTTACGTAACTTACCTTGGCATTGAGGAAGTCTAACGCTCCATCTGCCATTTGGTAAACAACTGCTTTCAGATATACCAACCAGTTCGAAACCGACATTACATGTGACCCTGAAAAGAAATTAAAAAAATATCACATACTTGATGGGATCTGCAGTAAATGAATATATATCAAGTTTTATGTGAGGCTAAAAGATTAAAGAAGATTAACATGCTCTAAACTTGTTTTAAGTCTGAAAGTCAAAATTTGATGACATACTTTGGAATTTTGGCAAACGAAAGTTAAAACGAATCAACATGTCAGTTATTTAAAATATTTGTTTAATAAATAAAATACATTTCTTCTTATAAAGCATTTCTGTTTATAGCAAATGCTAACTTTTTAAAAAATTGTTACAAATATTTTCACTGACGCACACAATGTGAGAAAAAATCTAAATGGTTTCTCATAATAGTTGTGTCACCAGTTGCTTGTCCAGAGTTGCTGCAGAGGTCGACAATAATTATGTTACAATTTTAATATTTGGGATAATATAAATGTATGGTGAGAATTAGGAATGAAATGTCCACAAATGTTCTTTTTATCAAAAGTCCGTGTTTGCCGATATTCTAGATATCTTAGTAGTGTGATTACAATTTATCTTACAATTTAATTTCAATACCAGTCCCGGACCTAACACAATCACTGAAGGTTGTGAAAATTTTTGTAAGTTAAGCCCATCCAAAAAATTCTGATTTTTCAAAGTACCAGTCTTTTTAGTAGGGTGGTTCACGTAACCGCTGGTCAGTTACAACTTCCTCCACTATCAAGTCCATGCTTCCGAAAAAACAAATAACTAACTAATCCCATACCCGACATGAAATATGGACCGTACGAGAGGCCGTGGTTTGCCATATGGTTAAGCCAGCCCATCGGCTTTCCTTCTCCCCGGGATAAATATGTAAATCCACTGGACTATCCACAGTATCAAACGAAATTGAAAATAAATGAACAAGCACAATTTTGAAAGTATAAAAATTTTACCTAAACAAAAATGTATTCACAAGTTTTGGTATTTAATCATACGCACTATAACGACACTTACCCACAGTTGCTTCCGATATTATTTCCATCAAAACATGAAACAACTCCATTACGAACCAGCCCTCTTGGTGGGCAAGTTATCTCTGCAAAAGAATAATTATTTTTCCAATCAATTATTGAGAGATTATATTCTACTATTTGATCCATGTACACTCGCTCATTGAAAAATAGAAATGACGGCGCCCAAACACACATTGGGGTATTTAACGGTACTTAGCCTAGTTTTTGGATTCAACAAAATTCATGAACAAGTTTTTTTTCAATTGTTAATGTAACTCAAAATCACAGCTTTAAAAAGATAGAATTTTTTTTATTTATTCAAGACAATGTCATATCGGAACAATCAACATGGTTATTCTATCAATTATTTATTTCTAGTCGGTTTAATCACTTCACTTTTGTTGGATTAATGTTAAATTGTTGTTGTGAATCTTATTGTCAGGTTTGGCTGTGCAGAGCCTTGGTCAGATCAAAGATGTATGAATATGTTGTGTATAAAAATAAAGTACTTCCCTCAGTGTATATAGGCAAATCCTATCCTAATTGGGCCCAAGTGGTTTAGTTTGAAACTCGATTTCTTCAAAATCTCCAGTTTTTTCTTCATTTTTTCCAATGTTTCAAAATTTAGGGATTTAGATATTTTTGCCGCTCTCAGCGGATTTGCCCTGTTTCAATAACTTGTAAATTCAATAAATATGTTGTATATAAAAATAACTCACGCCGACATGACGGTATATTGGCAGTCCATCGTCCATTACGTTGACATCTGACTCTTTGAGAACCAAACAATTGGACACCAGTATTGCATGTGAACCTGGGATGGATAAAATGCTTATTTATTGCAAATGCAATTATTAAAACCTTCATATTAAGTGCTTACAACAGTGCTTGCTCACCCCTCGTGAGGGTGCAAAACTATATAAACTGGGTACTGCAGTAGTATGTGTACCTGGTTAGGGTTAGGCCATATTTTTATTCCGATTTTCCTTATTTTAATTCTATTACGAGTTCAGGGACTGTTTGTGTTAGCCAAGTGAAGATACTCACTGCCCATAGGCTTTCGTTCCTTTACACAACTCGATGTAAAAAAGTCAAACAAAATTGGTACACATACTTCTGGAGCGCCATAAATTGTAATCTGTTCTGGATTGTTTATATTCTTTCGCAGTTAATATATGTGCTTCACGCAAGAAACTAAATTTATTAACTTACATATTTCTGTATATATGAACATATATCTAATCTGAGCGTCAGTATTTGACGTCAGTATTTGATCTTTTCCAGTAAGAACTCTTACTTTTGGGTAATCAAAATGAGAAAAATATAATAAATATCCCTATCTTACGTGCAAGTGCTCCCGAAATTGAATTCATCATCGCAAATCATAAAACCAGGTTCCGCAGAGAAATCAAGTAACGGGCATGTGATTACTGTGAAAGAATTTGAATATTATAAGTTAGATCAGTGGTTTCAAGTTTTTTTTTAAGCTGCCCGAATTTTAAAAATACATTTTGTAAAATCTGGCGACACAAGGATAATAAACACATAATGAACAACATGTAGTGCTTTTACGGCCTCAAAATTAAATGACAAGCATAAAACACCTATTTTTATGTAACATTCATTTCCCAGAAATCTATTTAGAGTGAGAAAGCTGTGCTTGTTTGCCATCAGCGAGTTTTTGAAATCGTGGCGTGGCTTTATTTAGATGATTCCGAGTTGTTACGCTGTGATACTTGCCACATATACGATTACTACCTAACAACACGTCAATGCCAAATTTACTCGAAAACAAAACCACCTGCTTAGAGATGGATAGGAAAGGATTTACATATTTATCCTGAAGGAGAGGAAAGCTTAATTATATGGTGAACCACTGCCTCTCGTCTGGTTACCAGTTCATTGTTGGTATGGAATTAGATAGCCAGTTATTTGTTTTCAGAAGCATGGACTTGATGGTGGAGGAAGCGTAACCAACCATCGGTTACGTGAACCACCCTACGGTGGCAAGAAATCCAACAATCCTCTCGCATATAAATATCCCGGTATGGGATTCGAACCTGCGAACCCATGCTAGCAAATTATTAACATTTAGCATGATGTGCCACACTGCTGAGCTAGGTGTAGAAAGTTAGGTTAAAAGAAGGGTAGGCTATGTTCAACTGGTTTGATTCTGGTCTCTTCAAATACAAAGTTGTTCCTAACATATCATTAGATATCAATGGCTGATTTCTTGTTTATCTTTGGGTTATTCATCTTCGGCAAAAAATTCTCAAAAACTTACGTTCACAAGATGGTAAAGCGACACTCCATTCTCCAGATGGCAAACAAGTGCTGATTGAAACACCAGAGATCTGCAATCCTGGGACACATTCGGCTCTGAAACAAAAATTATTCATTGTTATTCCTATTAAAATTTCTGCAAGTGCGATCTTCAACAAAATTATACAATTAATCATCTATCTAGAGTCTAGACCTTAAAATGCATTATATTATGAGCGCCACTCAATTGACGCAATAAAAACAAGTAATTTTTAACTCAGGAACAAAATAGATTTATATTTAGGCTGTTTTAGATTTATATTTAGACAATTTGAATCATGGTTATTTGTCTATGACTGAATCCTATTTTTATTTATACAAGAGTAAATTTGGGACTGTGCTGTTGGCCTTGGTTTGCATCAAAGCAAACTGTTATTAAAAGAATATCGACAAAACATTAATGAGCAGCTAATACTAACGTGCATACACTTCCGACAAATCGCTGATTTGTACAGAATACTTCTCCATTGAGTATAGTTCCTCTTACAGGACATTCAATTCCTGCAAAAATATAATACCAATTGAATCAATGGTTCCCAAACCGCAGCCCACAAGTCAATTACAGCCCCAGTAACAATTTAATATGGCCCGCTAAACTTAAGTGAAATAGACTTGTTCCTTTACATACGGTAATAAAATACTGACTCGGCTAATTTTGTAACTGTCCGAAGAAGCCATAAATACATTCGAGTCATTGAATAAGTGTGTTTTCATGATTATAAATTAATCAAGGGGCCTTCGTAAATAATTATCAACCCTTTTATGGGCTCCATAACACAAAAGAGAACTCCTGGTATAATAGAAAGCTATATTGAAATAAATTAGCGGGAACCTAAGGTCACATATCAAGGTCACCTTCAATAATATTGTCAAATCGCCTTTAATGACGATATATCTCGTTCTGCTAGTTGAGAAAAATAACAAGGCTGTGCTTCTTTAAGGATTGCCAACCGTCTACCAATAACATATTGTGTCAGCCAATGTGCCGATGAGGTTACCCATCCCCAAAAAGTTTACCAGTTTCATAAAATAAATCAAATTACTTTGGCATACTGGCAAGGCGACATCCCATTCTCCGTTTGCGAGACATTCACTGATTTCCAGTCCAATGAGTTGTGCATGAAGGTCACACGATACGCTGAAATAGAATTGTTTTTGAATTAATTAAGTCCTGTATTTGAAAATTCTTATATAAAAGAAACAAGATAATAGAAGGGATGCATTTATCAGGAACTCTAAAGCTCAGAGTCATTTCAGGCCAAGATGATAAAAGTACTATATTTACGGACTATAAATTCCTTTTTTTTTAAAATAGATCCTGCGATATAGCCTGGTGCGCCTACAGTACCTGTTGTGTTTTATATCCCGTTGCATTTTATGTATTCACAAAACCCTAATCTGAGCAATTGATTGACTAGGTGTGCTTATGTCCGTACAGTAATCTATAATGTCCGAAAATCTTATCCCCCAACAAACGCAAAGTAAGTATTAGTGTAATAACTTTTTGTAATAGTGTGTCGCAACTAGCAGAAGGATGAATATACCAAAAACGCAATACCTGTAAGAATATGAATACCTAAAGTTTCTGATGTACTATAAAATAAAACAATACGTACGTGCAAATACTTCCAACAAACTCTGAATCTGAACATGAGACTTTACCATTGAGAACAAGACCTCGGTTAGGACATTGCGTACCTGTGAATAAATATAAAAGATCAAAGTACAGTGAGTCCAATGCAATGGGAACTATAGCTGGCGTATTTCACTAGAGCAGGACGATGATATGATACGACCTTAGCAAGGTTAAATAAGGTGGGGATGGCTTAGAACAGTCGTTCCCAACTTTTTACGACTCGTGGCCCCCTTCCGACGACTTTTTGCACTCGTGCCCCCCTGTTCGCAATTCCAAAAAACTAGACGTGTTAAATTGTATGATGTTTTTACGACCTTTTATGGAATGCAAAAACAAACCACAGACAAAAAAGTCTAAGCTTTTTAGTATACAATCAACGGACATCTTGCGCTTGGGACTGTCTGGAGAGATTTCTTATATTAGCTATAGCCTTTGGTATAGCCTGACGAATGTCACTGTCAACATCAAGGCGATTTCTAGATTTTGTTTCCTCCGACAGAAACCCAATCTTGGCCAATGAAATGACAGAAACCCGATCTTGGCGAATATTGCTTTCTTGTCAAATCTAACTCGCTTGGCAGCCAAGTAACCAATGTCAACGTCTTCCACCTGGGGATGATTTTTGAAAAGGTTGGTCATGGAGTTCCGATTGACGTAATGATTAATTGCTCATCACGTACGAGCAATGCAGGCATTGAGCACATTCTCACTCATCTCGATTAACTTTTGTAAAGCCAACGTAACCGTCGTTCCATTGGGCATTAGTACTTTTAAAGGGGCCAAGCCAGGTGGGTCGTTTTGATGGTCGAAAACCCATCTTTTGAAATGTAAAAAATTCGAGCATCTTTCTGTATCACACATGGCAATTTTTCGCAGCTTGAAACGTTCTTTAGACCCTCAAGACTCATGAAAACACACATTTTCCGATGTTCGGCCGGACGCGGTTTTTGCGTCTATAATACGATACTGACGGTTGCCTTGCAGTCTAGCGAAACCGCCTGTCTGCAGGTTAGGCGACCTACTAGAGAACTATTATGATTGGTAGATTTTAAATTCCATTATGATCAAACAATTCACGCGTTGAATACACCCTGTGATCACAAATAACTTATTCAGGTAGTGAAACTGCGGTGAACGCATGAACAGAGAATTTTATTTTTAAAGGAAAGTATGCAAACGAAGTCGCTTTACGATCAACTATTAGCCTTGTGTCGTGACCCCCCTTGAACTGCTTCGTAGCCCCCTTGGGGGCCACCGGCCCCCGGTTAAGAACCACTGGCCTAGAAGTTGAAGCGTTAGTTTTAACTGTGTTGGCATCACAAATTACAGTTTTCGGGTTTAAATCCAATGCCCAGCCTTGGGTGTAATAAGTTGGGTAAGCACAGAAAGATTTTCGGTGCATGTGACACATGCGTCAAATAAAATAATTAATTACTTTTCGATCTCGATAAGTATGTTGATAGGTATTTGTCTGTTAGATGCACGCAATATCTCACAAAAGCGAGGTGGAATCTGCTCCAAATTTTGCATTTGCATTGATCATATCTCGGACCAGAAGCCTATTGATTTTGGATGAATTATGTCGTATAATTAGCGAGTTATCAATTAATTAGTGATGAGACATGCGGTGTCGCTACGGAGTAAAAGCAGATAAATCGAAACCGCAGATTCTGTGTTGGGAATTCCCTAACTTTTGATTGATAAGTCTTCGGTCTCCGACCGATATTCTCGTTTAATCTATTCTGAAGTTAAAAACACATCAATGCAACTTACGAACACATCTTGGTAATGGCTCACTCCAGGCTGCAGTTGGTAAACAAGAACTCTGCGAAACTCCAACAAGAGTATAACCAACGTTACAAGTTGCCCTGAAAATTAAAATTACCGAGTTTTCAAATTAAATTGACATTGTGTAATGTCTCTATGTGTATCAATATTATGTTTTTGTTCAAATTAGAAATTGCCTAATGTTAACTGAAGGGGTTCCCAATCTACTGAAATAACTTTGAAATTCTTTTTATTGAAAGAACGTATAATTTAATAGTCAATGAAATAGTTGAAGACTTACTGGCAAATACTTGTAACTTCTTCTGCAAGTGAGCAAGATACATCTCCATGTTTGATTGTTCCTCGGACTGGGCATTGAATGACTTAAAGGAAAAACATCATAAGGCTTCGATCACAGTAGGTAAATTATTCACAGAACTTTTTTTAATTAACACTTATCGCTCTCTGGCTTCTGCACAGTTTATAATGAGTCCAGAAAAGTATAAGACTAAATAACTGAAAAATATTTGTAAAATCACATCGAATACAAAGTAATCTCTTCGAAAACAACGATAATCCTCTCCGGGAGGAAATTCCTTTCCATGTGGGAAATCCTGGGCTTATTCAATACTGTAAATTCCCACAGGATTTTTGAGAAAAAATGAACTATTTAGAAATATAGTGCTAAAAAATTAAAATACTTCAAGTTCAGTGAACTAAAAAACTTTTTTACTCGAAATCATCAACCAAATTTTATTGCCTCCTGGTTCAGATAGTCAGACAGACATTTATCTTTCATTCAAGATTCTTACTATACTTCATTAAACATAGCTTGGTAAGGTTAAAAATGACCACCTGAACACTAAGCTCTACTTTGCCAGAATTAAATATCTGCACAGCGTAGGTCACATTTTAATGTTTTTAGATGATGGCATTTTCATAAGTTTAGGTTTCTGAAAGCCCGAACTAAAAATGGACATAAACCTGAAATAAAGGTACTCACGTTCACATGTTGGCAAAGCATGGCTCCATTTTCCGTTATCTTGGCAATAACTTTCAATAACTCCTGTGAGTCGTCTGAACCCTGTGCACGAAGATCTAAAGAAAAATGGGAAAAATATTCACAACAATAAAGTAGTAAAAAGGATTATCAGGAAGTCGAAATATAACAGATATAATCTGTGAACAGTATGAATTGATACAAAATACTTTTTATATACAAAATTATTTCACATACTTTGTTTTTGTTTGGCAAAATCATTTAAACCACCGAGAGTGCTCACTTGAGAGTGACCTTATAGATGCAGCGGCATAGCTACGTAAGCGTAGCATGAAGGAAGGATAGGTTAAGGTTGAGAGTCAGAATCCCCCTTTCAAATTGTAATAAAAGCATTCTTCAGTATTATTTCCAGAACCGCCAACTGTTGCAGTCTAACTTGGCAATTAGAAGTTTCAGAACCACCCCAACCCCTTTCGAAAATTCCTGACTGCGCTCTTGGATGCAAAAATGGAATCGGTAACAATTTAACCAACTGGATAAATGAATTTTTGAATGTTGTTTTGTATATTAAAGTACTGTATTTGCTTGTTTTATAGCCCGGGCCCATATTTTTTTAACCAAACTCACTAACTGGGCCTTTATTCAAACCGGCCCTTATTCAAGTACGAGCGCTTGTTATTTTTAAAGTAAAATTATACACAAAAATATATAAAAAAAACATATATATATATATAGATAAGATCGATCATTGCAATAATTGATATATTGTCATTTCAAGTTCTCAAAATCGGTTCTTATTTCCTATTGTCCTCTACCACTGAAAAATCAGCTTTTACATCGGGCGGGTATTCAAGCACCGGCCCTTATTCCTACAGTATTTCATTTCTTTACCATGAACATGTTTATATCTTTATATCTACATATATTGAGGCACAACCACAAGACCTAAGGAGATTTGGTCCGCATGTGCAATTCAGATGGGCACGCCAATCTAGGTAGTGACGTTTATTATCGAATATTGAATTAGTTACGATTAAACAATAAAATATAATTACTGGCATCTGCTCTGAAGATTTCTTTTATCGGAGCATTCTACGACTCCCCCATCAATTCTTCCGCGAGGTGGACACTGGAGGGCTAAAATGAAAAGGATTTTAATTTAGTTAGACGAGGGTTTCCCGAACTGGGGACTGCGGGTTCGTGATGACTGCACAGGGGGTCTGCAACAATATGAAAATAGTCTAAAACATATACAGATAGGGTATGATCTTATTGAATTGCTGTTAGCCTGCCATTATTCAACGTTAATATGTATTGATTCGAACTTTAATAAGTTTTATTTTGTTACAGGAAACGTTATCTATCCCGGTCAGTAAGGCACAGAAATTGATACGACATAGGATCGGGGCTATCAAAAGTAAGACTCACAAACACAAACAGGGGCAGCGACCCAAAAAGTTTGGGAAACCCTGAGTTAGACTGCATCCTCGAAATTCCAGTTTTACCAAATGCTAGTGCAGTTCTAGTATTGGACACAAAGTGGACCTAATAATCGTTTTGTTATTATTATGTTGTTGTTATTATTATTTTTGCACCAAGTTGGCGCACAACCTGAAACCTAACCTGATACACATACTATTTTCAGGTTGTGCGCCATATTGGTGCACATACTTCTGGAGGTCCTTATTTTTATTCTTGTTACCCTATGAAAGATTCTCTTTTCTCATTCACTAATGGACAAATTGTTTTGAAATTTTCAGTGTTCAAAGATTGTATTATTTGCTAGAAAGCTATAACTTTGATTTATTCCTAAATTTTCTATGAATCCTATGAGATTCGATATTTCGTCCAAAAATTTCGCTTTATTTTATTTTTCATGAGAACACAGTTTTTAATACACAAAGTGTGACTTCTAACTCAGTACTCATGAGTGAGACAGGCACTGTTTGCCATAGAACACTTTATTTCCATTTGAAGCAAGAAATTATAAGCAACATAAGATCAATTCTTATATATATTAATTATATTACTTATATAACTTTTTCATGCAAAACTTACGAATGCATCTTGGTTCTCTGTAGTAATTCCATCTTCCAGTATTCATACAACTGCTTCTGATGGGGCCAGTCAATCGGAACCCTGGTCGACATCGAGCCCTAAAATATATAAAACAGTCTGAAATACGCTCTGCCTGAAAGTGTGTGCCATGAACAGAAAAGATAAACATTTGTATTTGTTGTACACATGCAACATTTCAAAAGTTTTAAAATGTTATTTATTCTTTTCTTGTGGACACTCCATTTCATCCCACAATGACATCTTCATAAAAATTGTATATATATATATATATATATATATACCGTATATACCGGAAGTCTAAGTGTAGAGTAAAAATTCAACAATAGAAAATGAATAAGCCAATGGTGATATGAATCATACACAAATATCTTGTAAAATATGAATATTTTTTTATAAACATTTTGAACTTACGAGCATGCGCTACCACTCATATGGTTGTTTGTGCATATGTACCATCCATTAACGAGGGCTCTTCTTGGTGGACATTGAACATCTGTAACAGAAAAATGTATATATCAATGTCAGCCCACTGATTACAACTCTGAAGTCATTTTCGGTGATTTCAATGACATGTATCGGTAAAAATGTTTTCATGTCCCATGTAAGTCCAATATGAGCAATTAAATACTGAGATAAATGTTGCTTACACTACTACACATACTACCTACAGCATGTGAGAGATATCCATCTTGTTTATGATAAAATTTCAAGTAAAAAAGAGACATTTCAGGTGTGCCAGAGAACATGCTTCTGTGTCAAATGTTAACTCTGAAGTTTATTTTTCAAATATGGATAAATACATTTTAAATGTGATTTCAGCACTCCTGATAGATAACAAAAATTTGTACAATCAGAAACACATTAAATGTGCAGTTTTTGTGAGTTACAGTAGTCTTTGATTATTTTTTTCGACTTTCTGCAATTTGTTCAATTTCTCATACTTACCGAGACATTGGGGCACAGGGTAGCTCCAGTATCCATCATGTCTACAATATGTTGTTGCTTTTCCGCTCATTCGAGAATTTGAATTGCAAGAGACGCTGAAGATACAAGGTTGGAATGATAACAAACAACAATTTACTATTTTGCTATGATGATTTCACAAGGTTAGGGAATTTTCCGCACAATCAACCACTGATCAAAGAATATTTTCCATTTCGACAAAAGCTTATGTGGCCACATTCATCCAGATGTAAAAAAATATAGTTTAAGCATTATCATTTTTGCCTGGTGTTATTAGTTTGAAATTTGAAATGTTTGAATCACCCTGTTCTCCCAAGACCGACGGACTATATTTCATGAATTTACCAATAGTACAGGGTACACAAAAATATAACTTGAGTCATTCAAAACTTATTCTATTGAGAACATGACATTATACAAAGCAGGTCCTAGATCACTGGAACTATTGGGTACAATCATACACCAACAGAAGTTTGAGTGTTGAATAAATTTTCTTTATTTTTGCAGAAGTAATTAAGAAATTTATGAGTTCTACATTTTGGAATAAAATGGCACCCTTCCATGGGCCGCACGATTTTTCATTGCGAGCCGCATTTGCCCGCGGACCGCAGGTTGAATACCCCTGTTCTAAAATATTGATTGTCGGAGTACTGTTATTATTGATGAGCGGGCCTTTCGCTTAACAAACCAACATCGCGTATTATAATTCACATTTAATTAACATTTGGCCTGCCTCATGGCTCATGTGTGATTTAAACCAATTTAGGGTGCTCCCGAAGTATGTGAACCAAGATGGCGCACACCCTGAACCCTAACCTGGTACACATACTATGTTCAGGTTGTGCGCCATCTTGGTGCACATACTTCTGGAGATCCCAATTTAGATATTCTTGGATGTCTCAATACTAATAACTTACGTGCATGAACTTCCGTAGTTTCTCCCGTTTGTACATGAGATAGAACCATGATGCACATAACTTGGTAAACGGCCACAGCCAGGAGTACCTGTTGAAACGATATAAATATAATCATTTCCATGTCTCCGTTACTTATGTATGTATGTATGTATGTATGTATGTTTACTCGTCTGGTAATAGTGATAAAAAAATAAATGAACGATTCTTATTATTTAAGACGGGATGCATGCACAAGACCGTACTGGCCTAAAACACAAATGTGCGGCATGCACCCTTTTTGACAAATATGAAACAAAAAACATTAGATTAAATATGTATAATATGCTCCCTTATATAGACAGTTGTGCAAGGTGGGGCAATGGGTCGTTTGGTGTAGTGAGGGTGGTAAGGGTGGAGTATACAAAACTGTTTATACAGGGGAGTTTATAAGACAAGACAATATATATAAATAGAGATAACACAACACCAAATAAACATATACATAACAATGAAATCAAAATTTAGGCGCAAATACAGCGCCTTTGAGTGGTGAGACCATATAGTATGAATGGGCGAAGTATAAGAGATAAATTTGCGGTTCTTATGCCTATATGGTATGCGTCACTCAAGGGTGCTGCTAGTAGAGTCTTTGATAGAATATATCTATTTCAGCAAAAATGTGAACCATACAGATTTTGTTGAAATACTTCAGTTCGAGTGTCAAATTCTTAGGTATTCTCGTTTTATTTATAAAATTGAAGCCAAATGTGGTAAGAATTAAAGGAAAAATAAACTTGAAGAAAAGCATTTCAACAAAGCCTGTCATGATTGCATTTTTGCCAGAAGAAAATAAATGTATAAAAGTACTATTTAATTAGGGCTAATATTTTATAAAAAGAAGCATTGTTTCCATGTCATGGATTCCATGTCATTATTTGAATAATTGACCAATTACTATAGCAGATACACACGCTTACTCACCAAAGCAACTATCTCTTGCTACATTGCACTCATCCTCGTAACAGCAGCATCTACAAACTGAGTTGAATGATTCAGGATTGCATTGACTTGGCATCCAAGCTGCCCTGGGGTTCTAAAATGGACAAATTCATTTATTTATTTTTATCCGTAGTAAGTTTCGAATAAGCAAAATTTTAAGTTTAAGAAAGCTCAGAATCAGGAGATCAAACAGAAAACAATTCTATTAATGAACAAGCTATTTTGCACCAGGCAAATGTTAGATTAAATAGAGACTTAAAAGACTAACAGATATTCATACAATGTGTGAAGCTATTGTTGCGCGGTGGTGTGGCTCAACGGACTAAGCGTTAGGAATACGCTCGCCACCGCACCTCTAATTAGTCTGCGTGGGTTCGCAGGTTCGAATCCCATGCAGGGATGGTTATGTGCGATAGGATTGCTGGACTCCTCGCCCTCGTTGGGTGGTTCACGTAACCGCTGGTCGGTTACGGCTTCCTCCACCTCCAAGTCCATGCTTCCATAAACAAACAATATAACTAATCCCATACACCCAAAACACGATCAATCACCCAAGAAAATGATTTTTACATAGCAAAAGAAATTGAGTAAAATGGCAAATAGTGTTGATTTCCATGTTGTTGGGACAACTTGCAAAAGTCCCATACAAGGCATACAAGTAAGCAAAACTTACCTGTACATGGTTATCATCGCATGCCTTGGACTGCTTACAATGTTTGTAAATCTTCAAAGTGTGACCCCAGCCCTCATGTCGACGCAGCTCAATTTCACAAGCATCCTGTAAAGCAAACAAAAGCAATTATTGCGGAGTCAAAGTCAAATTAATTTTACCCAACTACTGAACTAGTAAAAAAATTGTAGTCTACACAATTTATGAGAAAACGCTACCGGTACAGCGGTACGGTACCGTAAAACCGGCTAACTTCGGATGCCTTGTAACTTCGGATGAAATTTTCAATCATTCATATCTCAACTAAATTTCGTCGTATTGCGCTTCTGTCGGTTTCTATAGTAAGGCCTTACATATCTGAATCTGCCGTAGCCTCCAATCGCTCGATTTGATTTTTTATCATTCAAAAAATCATATTTTACCAAAAAAATGACACCGTTTTTTCGAGCGGCTCAAATCGTGACTTCTACAGATGCTACCTTCGTCAAATCACCGCCAAGCGCTAGAGAGCGTACACAATGTATACAAAAAAATACAGTGATCACAAGGTGTCGTACGAGATTCGAGTGAAATCGATTATTTTGATTTAAAAATCACATTAAAATATCGACGTTATATCGACGTTTTGATGATTACGTACAGCGTGACGTCAACGACGCAAATCCCTTTCTCTCTCTTCGTAGCCGACGTCACTTTGCGTAGCTCGTGCGTTACTCGCTGCGACATTTGAACGCCAGACATCGCGGCGCCCAGTTTCGTGAAATTTAAAAATTATGCTTATCCATGATCCTAGTCACTAAATCCTACAAAAACATCACTATCGTCTCAGTCATATGTTGTTTATTTAAAAATATGGGTATGCATACGCTTAATGCATATGAAATTTGTCGATTTTTGTTTTTGCATACTTCCTCCGACACCGATAGATACCGTAGCAATTGGTAATACGTTAGGCCTGAAACATGTATCTATACGATCATAATGATTAGATATGTCTGTTTACGATCGGCAATTTCAACCTACACCAGTGTTAGGTACTTTCAATTCTTCCGTTTTTTTTTTTTGTTAATCCTTTTCTTGCATTGAAAATAAACGATCATAAAAGAACGAACTAGCATTTTGCAATAAATTAGGAGTAGTTAGTGAAATATATACGAGTTATAATAAAGGACACAAGAATAAATAGTTAAGCTTCGCGAAGCGTCAAGAGTAACGTCACGTACAAACGTCAGTATGCAACACGCATGACGGGTCGTGGCGGCGTAAGGTCTATTCAGCGACGTTGTCACGCATCATTGCTTACGCAGACATTTCTCTCTCACGACGAGTTGACGCAAAGAGAAAAGTGGCCATCCGAAGTTAGATAATTTTAGAATAGACGAATAAAGACAATAATTTCAATGAAAAAAGGCTTTGATGGATATGGAACCGACTTTATCAAGACGAGAATAGCCACAATGTATTATATTTCAAATTTGGCTTCAGTTGAACAACATGCGGCGGAGATATTGTTCAAAATATAGTGAAATCATCCGAAGTTAGCCGGTTTTAGGGTACCGTATACAGAGACTTACTTTGTTGTCAAAGTTACCATACAATTGCTCAATTTCATACACCTTAGCTTGTTGGCTTGAAGGAATGATTGAGAGTACCAGTACTTCTCTACTAATCTACATACAGGCTCTTAAATTAATATTAAAATTTTTCCCTCAATTCTACTTGTTGTAGGTAAACATCCAGCAACTGCAATAACAGAGGGGAATTCCCAGATTCTCAAAACATGGAAATTATTGCCTGGCGGCGCCATCTTGAGGCTGTGAGTTCATGCAGATCTACTGAACCTGTGTGGAGGCTTTAAAGCAGGGGTCGGCAACCTTTTGTCGCTCGCGGGCCAAAAGTGAAAGTTGCAAGTCATTGGCGACCTGCCCATATTTTCAGAAAGGTAAAAATCGAATGAATGACCGATGAATGAATCACATTTTATCACACAGCTCAGAAGTTAAATTTTAAACAGCGAGCGAAGACTGACCAATTAATTTTTTTGCGCCATTAAACCATTTGCACTTAGCATCCACTTTTCTGCGTTTTGTTGCCATTTGTCTAAATTATAAGTAAATTATAGGCTCATTAAACGAGTAATTGTGAATTACATATTTGTTACGTTATAATATAATTTAGTTTACACGTAAATTCTTTTGCGTAAAGAATATAATCAACAAAACAGCTATAATTTGTTACTATAATTCAGTGAAGCGTCGCGGGCCGGATTATATTGCTCCGCGGGCCAGATCCGGCCCGCGTGCCGTAGGTTGACGACCCCTGCTTTAAAGCGAGATCATACTAAAAATATTACAAACCTCGTTGAATCTACATTGTCTAATCTTTCCTTTTGCTCGGCATTCTTCGTCAGACGAAACCCCAGAACATTCGAGACATTTCAGAGCTAAAAATAAAAGTTTTGTTTGTATTAAAAACCATGTTGTGACAATTACACACTGCTGTTTGTATGGAGCCTCTAGGTCAGGGGTTGGCAACTTCTCTAGTCGGCGGGCCAGATGTGAGAAAATAAAGTCTTCGGCGGGCCGGATTATTACAAAAAATACTTCGGTATCCAATCTTTTTTAAATGCTGGACACTCTCTGTCAACTTTACGTTTCTCGGGATATTCCATGGTCAGTTAAACTTAATATAAAATCTAATTTCTAAAATCTATTTATATGTAGAATATAAATATAACTGATAACAGTAGTAGGGAATGTTTACAGCGCTCTCTGCTTTAAACTTATATTTTTTGTTTAACAAGTGTGCTAACGCAATTGTTTGTTCACTAAGGCAATTGTTCATTTCACCAGCTTGCACTAACAGTGCGGTGATCCGGCCCGCGGCCGTATGTTGCCCACCCCTGCTCTAGGTGGAATTATCTAGACTCCGAGTAAAGTCTACTAGCGAAATGATTAGAGTAGTAATAGGTGATACTCATATCATCCATTATTAGAATTTGAACCATGTTCTCAATATTTAGTTAAAATTTCGGGATTCATTTTAATTGGCGTTTACAATGAGTTAATATTTCGATTGTGGCGTCCCATCTTGTAGCGCGTGATCATTATCAAATTTAAACTTTGCAAAATATAACGGCGCTCCCGCCGTTTGATGACGGGAATGTAAGAAGATTTATATCGCCACATTCATATTAAGATAGTTCAAATAGCTATATATATATATTTATTTTCATGCGGACATCTGAGAATCGCCTTCACAGCTTTGGACCTTCAATACTGCGACGGAAGTAATACACTGACAAGCAATAAACCGATGATACAAAATAATTCCAATAATTCGAACATGTTTTTGTTTCAAATAAATCAGTAGACCTACCTTATCATAATCAACCAATCAGTATCGTAACGTTCGTTTGAGAAAAAGCAAGAAGACAGTTTGCTTAAGTTTTCATTGTTTTGCATTTAAAAGTTATTGTTTTTTAACTGTTTATGATGGACGGGCGCGTACGTCTTTTAACTTTGTCCTTAAGTTATGCCCATCCTCCAGGTCCTCTACATTTTGTTTTTCCGTTTGGTGTTGTCTTGTTTCATGTCAAAGTGCCCAAATAAACGTTCTCGAGATAATTACCAAGTTTGTCCTAATTAGATATTGTAACTCATTATGCATCAGGCCTGAAATCGACAGTTGCCATAACTCAGAGGTCAGAGCACTGTTCTCGTAAACCAGGGAGCGTGAGTTCGAATCTCACTAACAACATTATATCGCACAGCTTTTATAATTTTTACAAACATGTATTTAACTTTATCGGACGAGCATTGTACGCCGGGATTGTAGTTGCTTTGTTCTGTTTTCCGTTCTGAGTATTCTAATGATAATCGTTGGTATGTATCGCCTATTAAGTATTTGAGTGCCTTCATTGTTTAAAATGGAACAAATAGGTCAATTATCATGCAAACTTTATACCCAACGGCAATATTTCCGTACTCCATCGGCCGCCATAGCTCAGTGGTTAGAGCACTGGTCTTGTAAACCAGGGGTCGTGAGTTCGATCCTCACTGGTGGCTTCTACTATTGCTTTGGAGTTTGCATCTGGATAACTTTCATCTTATAAATACCACGTGAAATATGGTAATTTTCAATTCATACACGCTATGCTGCTAAAATGCCGTTTTTGTGAGTACGTTCGCATTTGTATATATATATTTATATGATGTAAACAATTAATATTGTCATGTTTATATTTCAATTGAATATCTTGCACTCTGAATGCGAGGGACCAAATTTCAATGAATTTCACGATACATTAAAGATAGGATCATCGCGATTCCGTTACTTTAAAAAAAATGTAGATATTAAGTATCGAGAGCGTTCATATGGGTGAAAACTCTTAACAGGGCTCAAGGAAATATTTAAAATTTGACTATTATTGATTGGTGCCATAATCTCGTCAGTGGTTGAATCCGAAGTTCACATGCGAGAATTTATGCTTTTCCTATCATCGAGAACGCATAAAACTACAGAAAAAGTAAAGTCCCCTTTCTAACTTTCTGTACCGTTTGGATGCGACATCTTCGCGACGAGGTTGTAAACGTTTTCGGACAATTTGCCAAACTTGAATATGTTCCATAACCTACTAGCTAGGGCAGGGGTTCCCAAACTAGGGGTCGCGACCCCAAATTGGGTCGGAGTGATAAGTAGGTAGGGTCGCAAACAGATCATGGGGTCGGTGGGGTCGCTGAGGTATGATAGAGGATGGATGTACAAAACATCTAAGATTTGACAAACCATGTTAAATTTAGCAGTTTGTACCATAGCTCACTGTAAAACAGGCCCATTGGCATCGCTCTATGCTTATGCTATAGATTATAGAAAATGTAGGTATTTATTGTGACATCACTGTTTGGTTTTGGCTTATTTTACTTAATACCACTACATGACCAAACTCAAAAGTCCAGTGAAAAAAGCTCTAAAGTTTCATAAAATATATATACCGGTATATAGACCTGAGGTCGCACTGAACACTTGAAAGTTGTCTTTGGGGTCGTCCTGGAGAAAGCTTGGGAACCCATGAGCTAGGCATATGGCTAGGTGATAGAGCATTGTAAGCTAAAATTGTATTTACTCAGTTCAGTTCTGAGTATTGAAATAGTCGTTGATATATATCGCCTATTAAGTAAATACCTTCTTTGTCTGAAATAGACCAAACACGTTAATATCTTACAGACTTTATACCTAACATCATAATGTTTCTTTCCTGTCGGCCGCCATAGCTCAGTGGTTAGAGCACTGGTCTTGTAAACCAGGGGTCGTGAGTTCGATCCTCACTGGTGGCTTTTACTATTACTTTAAAGTTTATAGCTAGATGAGATGATCTTCCAACTTATAAATATTATTATAAATACCAGGTCAAATATAAGTAAATTTCAATTCCTACACGCCATGATGCTAAAATATTATTCTAGAGTACGTTCGCCTTTGTGTCTTTGTACATAATGTGAACAATTTACAATTTACATTATCTATACATGACTATGATTCTGACGGAGGGCGACATAAAGATAGAATTACCTTGACTAAGTATCAAGAACTCCGCTATTTGCTACTAAATTTACGAAATCATGTATCAGGAGCGTTCATATGAGTAAAACTCTAATCTCGGGCACCAGGAAAACGCTCATTAACGAATAACGCTCATTAAGTAATTAGTATTTCGTTCTCAAAAATAGACTAAATACAACAATTATGCTACAATCGAACTATTTTTGACACAAAGTAATCAATGGCAACATCTCATAGTCTCATAATTTGTAACCTATTTTACATTAAGGGAACTTGGATATTGTGTATTGAACTGCAGGCCCTTTCTCCTTGTTTACTTTTTACCTCGGATCCGTATGTGGTACTCACCACAAGGATGCTTGAACGAGATAGTATTGGAGTGATAAGTAAAAATAACATGATCTCTTTCAACGAAATAGTAAGTAAGTAAAACTTAATTTTAAAATAAATTAAATTCTTGTGATCTTTATATTTACAGTTATATCTTGTATTGTTTGAAGAAGCTAGACCATGATCTAACGAAAGCTCACAAATATACTTACTATTTCGTTGAAAGAGATCATGTTATTTTTACTTATTATTTTACATTATATAATCTAATAAGCGTAGTAGTTTCTGATCGACGACTATTTAACACATGAACAAATTGCCGACAACCCCGCAATTAACATAATTAATAACGTATTATATGATTTATGTAGCGATTTATAAGACTCGTCAGCCGCCATAGCTCAGTGGTTAGAGCACTGGTCTTGTAAACCAGGGGTCGTGAGTTCGATCCTCACTGGTGGCTTTTCTTATCCAATATTTTGTCGTTTATGCTTTCTTCGCGAGATGTTACGTGCAAAGTTAATTACAATCCGACAGAATCGATAACGATATTCATCGAAAGAAATATCATCTGTCAGTTTATTGTCAGTACAAATGCAAAACACAATATTTAGTGGACGACCAAATTTCCACGTTTACAGCAACATTTGTCATGTTCTCATTTAAATGTGCTTTGTAAAAATATGATCCGAACTCCGCCGGTCTGGTGTCAACAATTTCTAAGAAATATTTTTAACTTCCTGCAGATGTTCAGGAGCGTTCATATGAGTAAAAATCTAAGCCCGGGCACCAGATTAGATATGACGTATTTTTAATTATTGCCATTGTATCGGCGGCTGAATCGATAATATCTTTAACGGAAGTTGTGTCGCTGACACTGGCAAAACTATCACTCTTCTCGATATTAAAAAAAAAATCGGAAACCGTACGAAAACGAGGAAAAAATCTCTATATGTAATACTGTTGTAACACCGAGGTTTAGGTTCATTGCCGACCAACGAGTTATTTACCACACAAACACAACAGCATTGGCAAACCAGTTATTCACGTAATTGAGTACACATAACGATCGTTTCAATATTATGTTGTTGGTCTTGTTTTTCTCCTCTTTCGTCATAATAAAATCGCTTTTCTCATCGAATACTAGACCAATTGCTTTGAAATTTTCAGTGGTGAATGATTGATTTCCACGCCAGAAGACTATTTCTTTTACTCATTTCAAAAATTTCTGTGGACTTCAAGAGATTCGTTTTTATATCTCAGAATAAAAAATATCGACACCTCGTGACGTGTCCATATATTTGAGCATAACTCTCTTGTTAATGACATATCATACAACTTATTTACAGCTTAGGGGTGCACGCCAGTTCTCATGGCTCACGATCTTTACTAGTGGCTTTCAGCACTGGCCAAAAGTTTGTTTAATTGAAACTAAATAATATATATTCCCAGTGGTAATGCATGTTGTTGTACAAATATTCGATAGTTGGAATATCTCACAGTTGCTATTAGCGGCGTTTTTCTCCCGACCTGTTGTATTATTGAGTACGCCATCTATTACTGACTAACAACATAATCATGACACAAAAAAGCATTGGCATCCCAATGAATAATAAAATTAGTAACATGTTATATAATTTACGTAGCGCTGCGCGACACATGTCAGCCGCCATAGCTCAGTGGTTAGAGCACTGCTCTCGTAAAGCAGGGGTCGCGAGTTCGAATCTCGCTGGTGGCTTTAATTGCTTTTGCTTTATCCACCAATCAATCATCTCCGAACGAGTGAAAGTTAATTGATTAAATCTATTGTCCTGCTTTAAAGGTAGTTTCAGTCGCCACCATAGCTGAGTGGTTAGAGCACTGGTCTTGGAAACCAGGGATCGTGAGTTGGATCCTCGCTGGTGGCTTTTTGTATTTAATTGTTTTAGGTCAGTACTAATTTGCGAGATGGTACGATAACGACAGGAATTAAAGCAGAGAAACAGGGTGGTTCACGTAACCAAATCAAGTCTATGCTATCGAAAACAAATATCTAACTAATCCCATACCCGACATGGAATGGAAACCGGGCAATTTCTAACAAATATTTTTAACTTTTTGCATATACTGATAAGGTATGTATATACATATTTATATACTTTATATTATGTTGTATATATAGGATTTACATATTTATCCCGAGGAAGAGAAAAGCCGATAATACGGCTTAATCATATGACGAACCACGGCCTCTCGTCCGGTGCCGATAAAACGGCTTAATCATATGACGAACCACGGCCTCTCGTCCGGTTACCAGTCCGCGTCAGGTGTGGGATTAGTTATTTGCTTATTAGATGCTTGGACTTAATGGTTTAGGAAGCCGTAACCGACCAGTGTTACGTAAACCACCCTACGGCGGCGAGGAGTTCAGAAGCGTTCATATGAGTAAAACTCTAAGCCCGGACCAGATTAGATATGACGTATTTTTAATTATTGCCATTGTATCGGCGGCTGAATCGATATTATCTTCAACGGAAGTTGAGTCGCTGGCACTGGCAAAACTATCACTCTTCTCGATATTAAAAAAAATAGGAAACCGTACGAAAACGAGGTAAAAATCTCTATATGTAATACTGTTGTAACACCGAGGTTTAGGTTCATTGCCGACCAACGAGTTATTTACCACACAAACACAACAGCATTGGCAAACTCGCTATTCACGTAATTGAGTACACATAACGATCGTTTCAATATTATGTTGTTGTTCTTGTTTTTCTCCTCTTTCGTCATAATAAAATCGCTTTTCTCATCGAATACTAGACCAATTGCTTTGAAATTTTCAGTGGTGAATGATTGATTTCCACGCCAGAAGGCTATTTCTCTTACTCATTTCAAAAATTTCTGTGGACTCCAAGAGATTCGTTTTTTATATCTCAGAATAAAAAATATCGACACCTCGTGACGTGTCCATATATTTGAGCATAACTCTCTTGTTAATGACATATCATACAATTTATATACAGCTTAGGGGTGCACGCCAGTTGTCATGGCTCACGATCTTTACTAGTGGCTTTCAGCACTGGCCAAAAGTTTGTTTAATTGAAACTAAATAATATATATTCCCAGTGGTAATGCATGTTGTTGTACAAATATTCGATAGTTGGAATACCTCACAGTTGCTATTAGCGGCGTTTTTCTCCCGACCTGTTGTATTATAAGTTATGTAGCGCTGCACGACACATGTCGGCCGCCATAGCTCAGTGGTTAGAGCACTGCTCTCGTAAAGCAGGGGTCGCGAGTTCGAATCTCGCTGGTGGCTTTATTGCTGTCTTTAATTGCTTTTGCTTTATCCACCAATCAATCATCTCCGAACGAGTGAAAGTTAATTGATCAAATCTATTGTCCTGCTCTAAAGGTAGTTTCAGTCGCCACTATAGCTCAGTGGTTAGAGCACTGGTCTTGGAAACCTGGGGTCGTGAGTCGGATCCTCACTGGTGGCTTTTTGTATTTAATTGTTTTAGGTCAGTACTAATTTGCGAGATGGTACGATAACGATAGAAATTAAAGCAGAGAAACAGGGTGGTTCACGTAATCAAATCAAGTCTATGCTACCGAAAACAAATATATATCTAACTAATCCCATACCCGACATGCAATGGAAACCGGGCAATTTCTAACAACTATTTTTAACTTTTTGCATATACTGATAAGGTATGTATATACCTATTTATATACTTTATATTATGTTGTATATATAGGATTTACATATTTATCCCGAGGAAGAGAAAAGCCGATAATACGGCGTAATCATATGACGAACCACGGCCTCTCGTCCGGTGCCGATAAAACGGCTTAATAATATGACGAACCACGGCTTCTCGTCCGGTGCCGATAAAACGGCTTAATCATATGACGAACCACGGCCTCTCGTCCGGTTACCAGTCCGCGTCGGGTGTGGGATTAGTTATTTGCTTATTAGATGCTTGGACTTAATGGTTGAGGAAGCCGTGACCGACCAGTGTTCCGTAAACCACCCTACGGCGGCGAGGAGTTCAGAAGCGTTCATATGAGTAAAACTCTAAGCCCGGACCAGATTAGATATGACGTATTTTTAATTATTGCCATTGTATCGGCGGCTGAATCGATAATATCTTTAACGGAAGTTGAGTCGCTGACACTGGCAAAACTATCACTCTTCTCGATATTAAAAAAAAAATCGGAAACCGTACGAAAACGAGGAAAAAATCTCTATATGTAATACTGTTGTAACACCGAGGTTTAGGTTCATTGCCGACCAACGAGTTATTTACCACACAAACACAACAGCATTGGCAAACTCGCTATTCACGTAATTGAGTACACATAACGATCGTTTCAATATTATGTTGTTGTTCTTGTTTTTCTCCTCTTTCGTCATAATAAAATCGCTTTTCTCATCGAATACTGGACCAATTGCTTTGAAATTTTCAGTAGTGAATGATTGATTTCCACGCCAGAAGGCTATTTCTTTTACTCATTTCAAAAATTTTTGTGGACTTCAAGAGATTCGTTTTTATATCTCAGAATAAAAAATATCGACACCTCGTGACGTGTCCATATATTTGAGCATAACTCTCTTGTTTATGACATATCATACAATTTATATACAGCTTAGGGGTGCACACCAGTTGTCATGGCTTACGATCCCCACTGGTGGCTTTCAGCACTGGCCAAAAGTTTGTTTAATTGAAACTAAATAATATATATTCCCAGTGGTAATGCCTCACAGTTGCTATTAGCGGCGTTTTTCTCCCGACCTGTTGTATTATTGAGTGCACCATCTATTACTGATCAACAACATAATCACGACACAAAAAAGCATTGGCATCCCAATGAATAATAAAATTAGTAACATGTTATATAATTTACGTAGCGCTGCGCGACACATGTCAGCCGCCATAGCTCAGTGGTTAGAGCACTGCTCTCGTAAAGCAGGGGTCGCGAGTTCGAATCTCGCTGGTGGCTTTATTGCTGTCTTTAATCGCTTTTGCTTTATTCACCAATCAATCATCTCCGAACGAGTGAAAGTTAATTGATCAAATCTATTGTCCTGCTCTAAAGGTAGTTTCAGTCACCACCATAGCTCAGTGGTTAGAGCACTGGTCTTGGAAACCTGGGGTCGTGAGTCGGATCCTCACTGGTAGCTTTTTGTATTTAATTGTTTTAGGTCAGTACTAATTTGCAAGATGGTACGATAACGATAGAAATTAAAGCAGAGAAACAGGGTGGTTCACGTAACCAAATCAAGTCTATGCTACCGAAAACAAATATATATCTAACTAATCCCATACCCGGCATGGAATGGAAACCGGGCAATTTCTAACAAATATTTTTAACTTTTTGCATATACTGATATGGTATGTATATACCTATTTATATACTTTATATTATGTTGTATATATAGGATTTACATATTTATCCCGAGGAAGAGAAAAGCCGATAATACGGCTTAATCACATGACGAACCACGGCCTCTCGTCTGGTTACCAGTCCGCGTCGGGTGTGGGATTGGTTATTTGCTTTTTAGATGCTTGGACTTAATGGTTGAGGAAGCCGTAACCGACCAGTGTTACGTAAACCACCCTACGGCGGCGAGGAGTACAACAATCCTCTCGCACATAATTAACCCCACTTGGGATTCGAACCTGCGAACCCATGCCGGGTAATCAGAGGTGCGGTGACGATCGTATTCCTAACTCTTAGCGCGATGCGCCAAACCGCCGAGCAGTATTTTTCACAGGAGGGACGAATATTAACTAGATATGAAACGAAGTAGAAACATAATTATTAAATATATGCACATCACTTCATTGCATATTAAGTTTACTTGATATTATGTATCTTATGTTGGCTTTTATTGCATCCTTAATTGGCCAACTCATTGTTAATTCTATTAGTAAGTAATGAGCATAAACTCTTCTTTCATTGTTTCTCCAATTAAGCCAATTAAATTTTGTTATGAGCTGCTCTATACGGTTCTACAGAACAAAAACAATATTTTAAACTTCTTACCTGACAAAGGAGCGGCAAACAGGGAGAGAAGAACGATTCCAGTAATCACCAATTTCAGCATTTTGTATGAAACTAGTAAAAGATTACACTATTGACTAAAATTGGATGCAAATAATTTTAATTTTTTAAATATTACAAAGTTTTGATAACAATAAAAAAAGCAGCGATCGTCAGAAATTCCTGAATTTCGTACGACTAAATGAAACTAGACGCGTGAGAATATACTATTATCGACTAACAAATCTTAAAAATGCCGAAATAATTATTTTTTAATTTATATACTGAGGTAATTATAAAAAAGCATCAATTACACTAAATGAGCTAGTCTTTCCTTGAATTCTTTATCTTAAATCCACAATGACACAAAATTATTGTGCCCGGTTGTGAGACGCAAAATATAACTAAAATAATTTATCTTTGAATCAATATCTAACGATAAATGATATATTTTGTCATTACTACGCTTTAAGTCGGGAGTTCTCAAACTTTTGGCGTTATGAAGCACGAGGAGAGGTTATTATTTACGGAGAGCCCCGCGATAAGTTTAATAAAGTAAAAACGAGAATATCGGTCGAAACCTGAGAGTTATCGATCGAAACTGCGGCTTCGATTCATGACTCTATAGTGACACCGTGTGTCCAATTACTAATTAATTAATAAATCGCTAAATATACGACATAATTCATCCAAAATCGATAGGCTTCTGATCCGAGATATGATGAATGCGCATGCAAAATTTGGAGCAGATTCAGAGGCGATTCTCGTCTTCGTGAGATATCGCGTTCATCTAACAGACAAACAAGACAGACAGACAGACAGACAGACAGACAGACAGACAGACAGACAGACAGACAGACAGACAGACAGACAGACAGACAGACAGACAGACAGACAGACAGACAGACAGACAGACAGACAGACAGACAGACAGACAGACAGACAGACAGACAGACAGACAGACAGACAGACAGACAGACAGACAGACAGACAAATACCCATCAACATACTTGCCCATCTTAAGATCGATAAGTAATAAGAAAACTTACAAAATTTACTAACTCAGTATTTTAATAAGTAAACGAATAGTTCGCGGAGCGCCTAGGTTCTCTCAAGGAGCCCAGGGGTTCCGTATAGAGGACTTTGAGAATCGATGCTTTAGGCATATATCTCTGGATTGTTTTACCGCTAATAAATATCACACTCGAGTTTGATCTCATTTTGATGCATCTAGTTAGCGAAATAAACTTTTTAGTTAAAATCAAACGATACGAATTAGACGAGGGTATACCTCGAATCAATTCCTTGAATAAAACGTGGACTATTTTTGCAAATTTTAACATATTTTTAAGTTTCACATGAATAAAAATACTTAATAATTTCTTTCAATGTGCGTGCCCACCACTTTCTTTTTCTCTTTTCTTTACCAACTCTCCTGGTCATCGCCTCATAAATCAATCAATTAAACTGATAGAGCCGTTTCAGCTTTGAGCGAGAAAAAAAAATTAAACATTTTCACGTTCAAAGTGTTCGGACATGATTTACGACTTTTTTTTTTTCTAGAAAAACAAGCGATCCCAACAGGCTAGTTTAGCAACAAGTATCGCATCCCAATAAAAAATGACACCTGACCCTGTAATCAATCGCTCATACTACAGAAGAGAAACAGGAAACTTCTATTTGTGCTTGCGAAGAGCCGATTATTATATTCGCTTCGCCACTGATACTGTTTACAGATTGAAAAATTTTAAATGCTTCTTTTTTTAATTTACCAGAATGTCCGAAATTACTATTTATGAATAAAAAAATATTTTGACATACTTTGAATAGCGCTTACTTATTGATAGAGTTGTTCAGCTTGAAGCGAAAAAATAAAATAAACATTAGCGTGTTTAACAAGCAAACAACAACTCGCATCACCTTTCATCGAGAAGTAATACCTGGTCATGTAATCAATCGGCCATATTTCGGAGAAAAATAAAAAACTTTCATCTTGTGAAGGGGAATGCTAGTTATTATACTCGCATTGCCAGTATGTTTCGCGGTAAAAAAACAACTGTTTACCAATTCATGTATTTGGAACGTTTTTTTTTTTCAATTTTAAATAAAGCATTTTGAAATATTCAAAAGAGCGTTATTTTAAATATAAAAGTTTCGTTTGGAATATGTTCTACTTTCTCTTTGTTTTTTGAAGGATTACGGGCGCCCACTGAAAAGTTTAATTTAACCTCAAAGTATATCTGTTAGTTAACCCCCAAATGATAATAACTAGATGAAAACCAATTCGTTGGAAAAACGTGAAATTTTTTTACAAATTTCATTTTTTCCAGTTTTACTGATATAGAACTACGTACTAAATGTGTGTTTCACTCTCTCTGTTATTCTTTCCTTCACTGAACCCTCTCTATCTATTTCCTTTTAAATAAATTAAATGGCTTAGTGCTAAGACGAATCTTATTTTATAACACGTTATATGCAATTAAATTGATAGAGTTAGTTGTTCAGCTTTGAGAAGAAAAAATATTATTTTTACACGTTTTTAAAATTTTCGGACATAATTTACGACATTTTTTTTTTCGAGAAAACAAGCAATCACGACAGGCTAGTTTAACAACAAGTATCGCTTCTAATGAAAAATGACAATCTTTCTTCCACTTCTTATTAAAAAATGACACCTGACCATGTAATTAATCGCCCATAAGAAGGAGAGAATTAAGAAACTTTTATATTGTTCTTCAGAAAATGCTGGTTAATATATTCACATCGCCAGTATGTCTACAACTGATACAACTGTTTACGAATTGAGGTATTTGAAATTTTTGTTTAAATTAACGGTACAAGTGAAATTAGCATTTAAAAAAAGCATTTGAAATATTCCAAATATTGCCCTTTTTTGTATGTTTTAAAGAATTACGAGTACTCACTGAAAAGTGTGATTTCACCTTAAAAAATATTCTGTTCTTTCCCCAAATGTTAATAGTTAGAAGGAAAGTAATTTGTTGAAAAAACGTGCACTCGTTTCCCAACCTTCAAATTTTTTTTTAAGTTTCGCTGAAATGGAACTACGTACTAAATGTGTCTTTCACTCTCTCTGTTATTCTTTCGTCCTCTAAGCTCCTCTCCATAGCCTCATAAATCAATCAAATGGCGTAGGCCTAAGACGCATCGTATTTTATATTACTGTATATGCAATTAAATTGAGAGTTGTTCAGCTTTGCGCGAAAAAAATATTAAACATTTTCACGTTTAAAAAGAAGCGATCACGTCTTGCTCAACAAGAAATATCGCTTCCCATTGAAAAATAATACTCGACCATGTAATCAATCGGACATACTAAGAAGAGAAATAAGAAACTTCCTGAAAAAATTAAAAAAATTGACATGAATTTATCGGTAACATAATAAATTTATAAAATTCTTAAATTCAACTTTAATCAAGTTTGGTACAAGACGATTACTGTAATATTATAGTAAAAGCATCTTTTTTTTATATACAAATACCAATAAATCTGAATGAAACAAAATTTTGATTTACGCCGAAAACTTGGTAAAATATTGAATTGTTTTCACATGTAATGTAATTTGTTAACTAGCCCTCAGGGTCGGTCAAGGCTATTCAAATTTGGTGATACTTTTATATGATTTAATCTTGCTGTGAACATGTTGTCTCGCTATAATGCGGTAGTTAGATTAATAAATAATTGCGGAACATGTTTAAATGAAAATTATATTTGACATTGATGTATTATCTGTCTGTGGAAAGTGATATAACTTCGCCCTGTAGAAGGCATTGGGCAACATATAAAGTTGAACGCCAGACTTTGAGAGTGTTTGCATTTGAATGTACTGAATTCTTTTCTGACTAGAAAACAAGTAATATGAACGCTCTTCTAGGGATTGGTTCATTTCGGATTTATGGTCGCTGAAATTCGGGTTCGGTCAAGCTCGAATAGCGCACGGCATAAGTACAAAACAAGCAAATCGGAAATTCGAATATAAATTTTGCAAATTTGATCCCACGAAATCGACCTGTATTTTTAAATTTGCAAATAACTTCGTAACTGATGAAACACCAGTGAGTTCCTTACTTTTCTATCTAGGGTGTATTAACTCCTCTTTGATTTTAAACACCCGACAGCAAATTTTGAGAAGTGAAACCCGCTTTGCTTTTTAACTTTAAGTGGTGTATGGTCGATCCCCATATCTTAGGTTTTGGAATGTCTTTTTAATGAGAATGAAACATTTTTTATAGTTACAGTATACATAAAATCCAATGCTACATACGTGATAATTTCTTCACAATTCAAAATCAGTTGCATAAAATGTTTTAAAAGAGAGAGTAGAAGAATAATAAACGATGAAATGAATGTATCGGAAACTTTGGCCAAATGATTGGTTTTCAATTTTTCTTTTCGATTTGGATATCCCCTGTTCAATCGCTCGAAAGTCGAATTTTTATATTTCATGAAACAAAACGGTTAGATTTCCGTCTTCGGGACTTAAGTCACCGTGCTGACTGGTCACCGGGGGTGGGCAAGGTTTTTGGACCAGGTGCCACAAATTTTATCCACCCAATGTAAGTGCGGCGTAAAAAGTTACATTTAAAAGCAAAATAGGGCAACGATAAGCCTCGTGCCAAAACTAAATTTACCAAATCGCAATTAAACAAATTTCTCAAGCTATTTTTAAGCTAAAACGTCAAAACTTGGTTTTAGTTTGGTTGTGGCAGCATCAGGCGGGCTAAATTGAATTACCCAACGGGCTGGATTTGCCCTCGGATCGTAGTTTACCCATATCGGTTAGACAAATGTGATCGCAATTAAGAAATCACATAAAATTGCGTATTTTTTAACAGTGACAACTAGTTTCGGAAACATTCATTTACAAAATCAATTATTTTAAATTGAACACGTTACTTCCGCGGATTAAAATTAATGGTAATTATGAGTCAACAAAGGTTAATTCTTTGGCCTGAGGATCCTTTCAACACGGTATTATGTTGGCAAATGGTCAATAATGTTTCTGTATTTAATATTTTAACATGGAAAGACTTTAAACAATTAAAAATGGCGTACGTATATGCCTTGATTCTCGGATTGTTTGCTTGACAGATGGCCATAACTAATTTAGTTTT